AAACTCCTTTTTCTCCATTTTGTCTTGTTTTTCTTCTAGTTGTCCTTTTTCAGCATACACAAAATTTAATACACTCAAAAACTTTTTCGTAACTTCCGCAAACCTTCTCAGTATCTTGGCTTTCTTTATTTCTTCATTGGTTTTATCATCTTCTTGTTCAGACTCGCTCATTTATATACTTTTGAAAAATTAGCTTCACTCTCAGTCGATTTGTGTCCACGTGTTCGGATCGCTATGAGTTTGTATGCGGTTTGTCGACATAGGAACCACGCTCTGCTACCATCTTGGGAAAAATGAGGTTTTGCAGAGATGATTTTATTTAATATACTTTAATGAAATAAATTTATCACTAATCTTATCAATTACATCACTGTGCGCTACATGTGCAGTCGGCGACGACTCTCTTATAAAACCTACAGACGCTTAGTCGGCCGTTTCGGCAACTCATGGCGATCACGTGATACTCATATACTACACGAGTGGTGACTTACATGTATGTGTTCCCCTCATACACACGTTAATGCTGTTACTTATTCTACGCGAAACTCATTGTTTTGTTTTCCTTTAATTTGAATACAGTCAAATGTATATTATATTTCAACAAATATACACAGATACAATAGTACATTTAAATAAACTTAAAAATAAAATAACAAGAAATAAAATAAAAAGTACGAAGAACTAATACGACAAAAAATATTACATTTTTTAAATATTGTAATAATTTCACATTTTTTGTTTCATAGCAGACTATTTTTTTTATTTCATTTAAATGTCCTTGTGAAATTGCTTTACCTGATTTATTATTTTTAATATACTTATAAATTAAAAATGTCACGCACTTATTTAAAATTATACACTCGCAATGGGGGAGAGGATGCAAAGGACATAACTGACTAAACATTTCACAGTTTTCAAAATAACTTATAAAACCTTTGTCTTTTAACAGAAAAGTATTGTATGTCAGAACTACACATATAAATTCAACCAAATTAACTGGGACCCATTTTCCATATGTTTTGTGCGGGGAATAACGAAACAGTCCGAAATAAAAAAATTGGCATTAATATAGCCTCTCTTTATATAAACTTTGTGTGGAAAACTATTAATGTCTTTCATCTCGACAATTATGAAGAATAAAAAATGCAATTATTGGGTTGAGATTATGTTGTCATACAGAAATTTGGAAACAAATTGATAAGATCATCATAATAAATTAAATCAGTTTATTGTATATACCATTTGTAAAATATCTCTTAACTGCTTAATCAGTTATCCAGTTTTCTTTTTAAGATTTACACACTCATACACTCATACGTTTGGTACATTATCGGGTATAATAGAATTGGCAAAAATTACATAGATGAAATTACGCCATGACGTTTTCTGATTGGATACTTCAATCCCCACTTTCGAATGCTCCTATTTTTTCTGTGTTACCGGAAACATTAATACGAGTTTCACTCCCCTGCGCGGCCTGGTGTCCGGGCGGAGTTCGCCAGTTGTGTGGGCATTGCATCTTTTAATCTTTGTATCTCTTATAACGCGATCTGGCTGTATCGACCTCCACTTATTATTTCGGGAGGCGGGAGCACGAAGTAAGAGAAAAGGAGACTCAACTTGATAGTGCGCTGGCAAAAAAAGTGAAACCGATTTGTGCGCTGAATTGAGAGGGAGTCCGCTGAGAGGAATAACCTTCTAATTTCTTTTTCTAATTTCATTTTCTAATTTGCACTTTTAATTGTGAGGAAATCTTTTTATTTAGACAACTTTTAAAGGAATCAAGTCGAAACAATTGAGAAAGGATTAAGAGAAAGGATCTTCTTCCTGTGTGTATCGTATTGTGTGTATCGTAATTGTGTGTATCGTATTATAACATATTCGGAGACAGCAAGAGACGGAAAATACTTTGAAGTCAAAAAGAAAAGAGAAAAAAGTGAGTAAATGCAAATAAAAAAATTAACTTTATGAAATAATGAATAACAAATAATGTGTTTTTGAAATAACAATGAATGAGAAATAATTATTTTTCAGTTGTATAAGTATGGGAGACAACTCAAGGAAATTGGAACATGTAACAGAGGAAACATTTAAGTATTTACAACAAAATTTAAATTTAGTAGAGTTGTCTTCTTCGAGCTAGGGATTTACAAGTGGAAATAAAAAATTTTTCGGTTTTCAAAAAACAGAAAATGATTTCAGTATTAGAAAAAGAATAGCTATATTCTAAAATTTACACATTAATATTTACATCAATGACGAGATTATGCCTTTTTCCAAATATATAATAGTGACGAGTACTAATTAAATTTATGGATACCCTTTGATTTATATCTCATGAATTGTACATATGATATTTTTTCAATCAATTATGAACACATCAAGATCTCTTTTTTTGAACATGAGAAAAGAATAAATAAATAAATTTACAATTTTACAATTTATATATTTTGTTATTTATTTTATGTACATTTTAGTACTTTCTCTTTTTAGTAGGTTTTAATAATTTCAGTGTGTGCTACATTTTGCACGGAGCACACTGAAGATTCCATATTATTACAGTATCAGTTGTACAGCTCAGCTTCGATGATTTCCTTCTTTCTTTGGTTTGTTCTTTTTCTGCATTATTATTATTATTGAATTTCTTGCATAAGAAAGACATCCTCGTAGTTAAGAAAAAAATGGATAATCTTGTGTTTAACCTCGTATTCATGTTTGCACAACCAATTAAAGATAATTGGGATAGCTGATCTATTATGTTGCTAATACTGAATAATGTGTCAACATTAAAATCTCCATCTTTGGTTGCTTCGATTACCCCTTGTACCAGAAATGACAGTAAGATGACTAGTACAACCGATGGATATTTCAGGCTCCGTTTGGTTTTTAACATAGTATCAATTGATGACTATTCGGTATTGCGTCATTGATCCTAACATCAACGTTTTCAGGCATATCGCACACCACAGCTTGCTTATTTTCCAAAAATTTTGTGAATCTTGGTCCTTTCCTCGCAACATATCCAGTAACATAACTTAATACATAATCTTAAAATAAAAATAGTTATGCATAGAAAGTAATCGTGGTTGTCAAATACCGATGCAGCATCCACAAAAACATATATATTTTTGCCTCTATCCAAAATGGTATCAATTTGATCGATCCATTGCTGCTGTCTTTCCTCAGGATCTTTTATGTTCTTGATACTCAACAGAACGTCCATCAGTTCTCCACCAGATATGTTGCAGCCTTTCGATTTTACAAGTAAATAAGTCGAAACTAATTTATACATTTGTATAAACAGTTAAGAATCTGGATGCTCAAATGGATCCACAGCAATCCCGCATCATACCGAAAAAGCGCTGAAATAACAAAATAGAACTTCTTGCACTACTTTGTGGAAATTTTTTAATTTCTTACAAGAATATCACGATTGTATACCTCCAAACTGTCTTGATTAAGTCGTGCGGTCATTAAATATCTAAACACTCTTTTACAAGAAAAGTGCAAATTTCAAGTGCTTTTAAGGAAACTTTTAACCATAACATATTGAATTTGTTATGAATTCGTAATTTTTTCGTTTGTTTCTTTTTCCCATAC